CACTACTTTACATTGTAGCAAAGTGTCATTTCTTCAGTGTTGTCACATGAAAAGATATAATAAAATATTTACAAAAATGTGAGGGGTGTACTCACTTCTGTGAGATACTGTATGTATATATATATATATATATATATATATATGTATATACACACACACACATACAATAGAGAAGTCAGTGTTTCACAATAATAATAATAATAATGCAGTAATTGACTTTATTTGTAAAAAATGTTTTTTTTATTATTATTATTATTAAAATTAAAAAATATTAGTATTATGGTATTGTGATTTTTATTATTACTTATTACAAAAATTTGCTTTACCTAAAAACGAAAGAAATTAAAATGCAAGAATTGGCTTCAGTAAAAACAATAGAAGTTGATGTTTTTGTATTATTATTATCATCATTATCTTAAAATTATTATTATTATTATTTAAAATGCAAAACCTGGCTTTATGTAAATATAGTAGAAGTCAATGTTTTATATTTTTTATTCAAATAAAAAAAATTGGCTTTATTTAAAAACACAAGAAATCAATGTTTTATTATTATTATTATGCCAAAATTGTCATCTTTAAACGATTGAAGTCAATTATTTTATTATTATGATTATTATTGTTACTGTTATTATAGTAGAAGTCAATGTTTTATATTTTTTATTAAAATAAAAAAAATTGGCTTTATTTAAAAACACAAGAAATCAATGTTTTATTATTATTATTATTATTATTATGCCAAAATTGTCATCTTTAAACGATTGAAGTCAATTATTTTATTATTATGATTATTATTGTTACTGTTATTATTTATTATAATGCAAATAATTGGCGTTATTTGAAAACAGTTGACTTCTTTAGTCCTCATTTAGCTAAATGTGTGTTTACGCATATTTGTAAGAACTAGGTATGCAAGATTGTTTGTTGTTGACATCTTAAGGTGGGAAATGCTGTCTTAAGTGTGTTTATAATTGGCAAATGTGAACTTTTCCCTTTGCCAGCACACACATACACACTCTGCCCCCCTTGCAGCCATGGATTTGTATATTAAGTGGCACAAGGACGGTCAGGATGGTCTATTTAAAGATCTCTTCTCTGTGTTTCTTATTTTGTGTGTGTGTGTGTATGCTTTTTGTCCTGGAGGTCTTTCTCGGTAAGGTCAGTTCATATATTTGTAAAACGTTGTTGATCTGATCTTTCCAGAAAAACAGGATTCATGCAGCCGTTGCAGTCCCCTCCCTGCAAACAGTCTCACTCCATTGATTCTTGCAAAGGCAACTGCCTGTGTGTGTGTATCAACAATGTGATCATGCTGCATTGTGCACCTCATTGTGTGGACATCAGTCACTCGGTGGTATTCGGCCACCTCTCTTAGAGCTTATGTGTGCGTGTGTGAGCGTCATTATTGTCTCAGTGGATTTACTGTGCTACAGTTCTCACATTCCTCTTGACCAGAGCTCACATTTACACGCTCCTATCGCTTTAATTCACCCAGAGCCTTCTCGGTCTATTTGACTGCTAGTCTTTTTCCTTTGTTCATTTATGTGTCTGTTCACCTTCCAGAAAAAAAATTACTCTAATTTTCCTTGTGTCTGGGAAACTAGTCGTGTGGAATGTTCACCATTCAGATTGGCAAAGGCTTATGGCTCTGTCTCCAATTAATTTAAAGGATTAGTTCACCCGAAAATTTGAATTTGGCATCATTTATTTAAACTCAAACCCTATTTTCATGAAAACAAAAAGGGAGATGTTTTGAAGAACGTTCTAGCTGATTACTTCTATACAGTGAAAGCATACAGTGGCAAAGAAGTGTCAATTGTCAATCGAATTGAATAGTGAACTAAATTTGACTGTTTCTTACGTTAAGCCATCATGTGGCTTCAGAAGACGGTTGTATTACTTCTTTAAAGTTCTTTGATTTTCACAATTTTTGGAGCTTGTCAGCCACAATCATTATTATTGAGATAAGCACTCTGAACTTTCAGCAGAATTCCTTCTTTTATGTTTCTTTAAAGAAATAAAATGTCATATGTGTTTGGAAAAATATGAGTAAATCATGACAGTTTTCTTACTGATCAGATTTTCATGTACAATATTGTCAAAAGTTTGGGGTCAGTGTACGAATTTTTAAAGAAATTGCAAGGATTTTTTTTAAAGCAAGGATGCATTAAAAGTGACAGTAAAGACATTTTATGATGTCACAAAAGATTTTGATTTTAAATAAATGCTGTTGTTTTAAACTTTATTAACCAGAGAAACCTGAAAAAAAAAAAGTATTATCCTATGGTTTCCACAAAAATATTAGACAGCACAACTGTTTTCAACATTGATAATAATCAGAAATATTCATGTGCACCAAATCAGCATATTAGAATGATTTCTGAAGGATCAGGTGACACTGAAAAATACATTTTAAAATTGTGTTCATTTTAATTTTACAATATGTGACCCTGGACCGCAAAACCAGTCTTAAGTTGCTGTCGGTATATTTGTAGCAATAGCCAAAAATACATTGTTATGGGTCAAAATGATAGATTTTCTTTTATGCCAAAAATCATTAGGATATTAAGTAAAGATCATGTTCCATGAAGATATTTTGTAAATTTCCTACCATAAATATATCAAAACTTGTAATATGCATTGCTAAGAACTTCATTTGGACAACTTTAAAGGTGATTTTCTCAATATTTAGATTTTTTTGCACCCTCAGATTCCAGATTTTCAAATATTTGTATCTCAGCCAAATATTTTCCTCTCCTAACAAACCATACATCAATGGAAATCTTATTTATTCAGCTTTCAGATGATGTATAAATCTCAATTTCGAAAAATTGACCCGTATGACTGGTTTTGTGGTCCAGGGTCACATATGTTCAAATAGAAAACAGTTATTTTGAGCATAAGAGACTTCATAAAAAAAAAAGCAATTCCAAACTTAATTTTTTTGGGGCTGTGGTTGTTTGTTAAAAGCCACCCAGAATAATCTTGCTGCTTTGTACACAGGGCCGTGTGGAGGTGGAGGCTGGGAATGAGAATATGAAGTTTGAGACCGGACCTTTCTCTTTCTATGGAGTCAGGGCTCTCGGCGGTTCAACACTAGGTGAGACAAACACACACAAAATACAACATACAAATACTAATTTCATCCTGCTTGATTCAAAAACTTCAAAATGGGATTCTATATGAAAGTCTAATACACATGCACGTACATATATATAGTACTACATATTGTGTTGCCATCCCCTTCACAGCTGTGGGTTCATATATTAAGTGACTAAGATCAGGATAGTCTATTTAAAGATCATATCCTACACTCTCCTTTCAGATTTGTGTATGTGGATGAGCAGTAGGTGGTCTTGTTTGTGAGTCTGTGTGTGCATTATGGTAAATACCACATTATTAAAGGGTTCAACAACAGATGGGAAAACACTTTAAAGCACTAATCCCTCATAATTATAATTATCTCATGTGGGTTATTAGGACTTTTCCAGACCACCCATCTATCCTTATCGGGCTTTGGAAAAGCAGTAGATCATTGCCCTCTAGTGTCGTCTGCTAGAGGATGCCATTATCCTTTGTTCATTTAAAGGGATTGTTCTCCCATTAATGGAAAGTATCATAATTTGCTCACCCTCATGTCTTTCCAAACTTGTATGACTTTTCAATGCGGTACAGAACGAGACTGTAGGCAGAATGTAAATAGGATTTTCAGAAAAATCATAAAAGTATTTTATACTATACTATACTATTTTACACTAGTTTTATACTACTCTTGCAATATTGCAAGTGTTTTGAAGCCCTACAATAGCTTTGTGTGATGAATAGACCAAAATTGAAGTCATTTGAAATCTGCTCTACTGTAGCTCTCATATCTCATTCACACTTTCACATATTCAAGTTTTCCACATATTTTTCAACCTGTTGCAATTGCCTTTGTAGATGTTAATCCTGATGTAATGCATCTTCATGTGCATATTTAAATATGATACTGAGATTTGAGAGCTGTGATGGAGAGGAAGATTTCCAGTGTTTAAAGACTTGAATCTCGGACTTATTCTCACACAAACTGACTTGTTTTGACAAGAGCAGCGGGAATGTTTTGCCTAGCATCTCCTTTTGCAATCCACAAAAGAAGGAAAGTCATATCGGTTTGGAAAATCATCAGAGTGAGTAAACAAATTCCCATTTTTGGGTCCATTATCCCTTTATTTATGAAAGATGTCATGCTGCGGTTTATGTTTGTCTATCTGTGCTTATGTATGTACTGTACACTACCGTTCAAAGATTTGGGCTTGGTAAGATTTATATTTTTTATATTCATATTATCTCTTCTGCTCACCAAGGCTGCATTTGTATGATCAAAAATACAGCAAAAACAGTAATATTGTGATTTATTATTTTAATTTCAAATAACTGTTTTCTATTTGAATATATTTTAAAATGTCATTTATTCCTGTGATGCAAAGCTGCATTTTCAGCATCATTACTCCAGTCTTCAGTGTCACATGATCCTTCAGAAATCATTCTAATATGCTGATTTTGTGCAATTTCTTATTATTATCAATGTTGAAAACAGTTGTGCTGCTTAATATTTTTGTAGAAACCATGATACACTTTTTTCAGGATTCTTTGATGAATAGAAAGTTCAAAAGAACAGCATTTATTTGAAATAGCAATATATTGTAAGTGTTTTACTGTCACAATTGATCAATATAATGCATCCTTGCTAAAAAATTGTTTTAATTTCTTTAAAAAAAAAAAAAAGCCTACTGACCCTAAAATTTTGAACAATAGTGTATGTCTTCTACCTTGTGTTTTTCCTGTACCTGTACTTCCCTCTTCCCTCATCCACGTCTTACCCTTCCCATCAATCTCTGTCTTTCTCTCTCGCTCTCAGTGAGTGTGTCTCGTCCTCGTCACCTGTCTCTTAAGAGATGCTCTCTCTTCTCTCGTTTCCCAGGTAACTGCCGGCATGTCTGGGCTCTCTACCCACTCACTGGGAAGGGTCGGACTGATTAACAGCAATAGTTTTCACAGAAATAACCCTCAAGTGCTATTTAAGGAGCAGCCTTTTGCTCCTTCTCTTACACTAAAGTAGATTAGATATTTGTACACAGGTGTCAATAACGTAACACATTTTAGAATATTTTAACAGAGCTGGAGTTGAAAAATTCCTCTTATGCACCTGCTATCCTCCAGAGTCTTAACAATTAAACACGCTTTAAGAAATATTTCACCAAAAAGTGAAAACTCTGTCAACATTTACTCATCCTCATGTCGTTTCAAACCTGTATGTAAACCTTTTCAGAAAAGCTGCTCTTATGTAAATGTAAAAGTAGACTCTGTCAAGCCACAAAAAGCACCATAAAAGTAGTCCATATGATGAACATGTACAAGCACTAAGTAGATGTAGGAACTGGTGCATTTTCAGCGAATAATGGATTCAGTTTGGGTCTATTCCTCACGTAAAGTTATATGGCTAGTGCATAAAGAAGATAATGTAATGCACAAGAAATATAGACTGCTGTAATGGTGATTTTGCTTTTTGGGGCTTGACATTCTTCTAAATGAGCTGCTGTACTGAGAATGTGCCAGTAGGTGGCGAGATCTGAGCGGAGCATGTCTGTCTGATATCCAGCACTTCTGCCTACCTCTATCCTTATCCTTCTGTCAGCTGATTCTTCACATCTGAATCTATACCATCTTACATTTATACTGTGTAGTGTTGTGTGTTTATATATATATAGCCTTACATATAAGCACACTTATATCACAAAAACCTGACTTTATACACATGAACACTGTTGTTCAAAAGTTTGGGGTTGGTAAGATTTGAATGTTTCTTAAATAAGTCTCTTACTCTTCAAGGCTTTGTTTATTTGCAAAGATGCCGTAAAAACGGTAATATTGTGAAATGTTACAATTGTAAATAACTGCTTTCTATTTTATCTTAAAATGTAATTTATTCCTGTGATGGCAAAGCTGAAGTTTCAGCAGTTGTTATTACTCTAGTTTTTATGGAAGCCCGTTTCCGCCACTGAATAAAAAAATATAATTCTGTAAGTCATAATAATGAGAAACTTTCTCAAAATTATGACTTAGTATCACGTTATATTGAGAAACTTTCTCGTAATAATGACTTAGTTTCCCGTAATGAGAAACTTTCTCGTAATAATGACTTAGTTTCCCGTAATGAGAAACTTTCTCGTAATAATGACTTAGTTTCCCGTAATGAGAAACTTTCTCGTAATAATGACTTAGCCTAATCCACAAAAAAAAAAA